GTATCTACACTGCGACACAGTCACTGTATCTACACCAGACTGTATCTGCACTGCAACACAGTCACTGTATCTACACTAGACTGTATCTACACTGTAACACAGTCACTGTATCTACACTAGACTGTATCTACACTGTAACACAGTCACTGTATCTACACCAGACTGTATCTACACTGTGCCACACTGTCACTGTAACAGTCACTGTATCTACACCACACTCTATCTACACTACTGCACTGCACTGATATTGATCTCTAATGTTTGTCAGACGTATTTTCGCTCTAGCGCCCTCTGTCTGTGCCTCGCAGGGCGCCTGATTGTGACGATCTGGGTCATAGTGTCCCCGTCCAATGACAAACAGAAGTACACCCTGAAGACGCCCCACGACTCGCTGCCCGAGCAGCTGATCGCCGAAGCCATCCGCAAGAAGACGCGCAGCATGCACCTGTCTCCCGAGCAGCTGCGGCTGTGCGTGCAGGAGTACCAGGGCCAGTACATCCTGAAGGTGTGCGGCTGTGACGAGTACCTGCTGGAGAAGTACCCGCTCAGCCAGTACAAGGTGAGGGGCAGCGGGAGGCAGGTGGGCCGGCTGGGGGAGGGAGGGGCAGAGGGCGGGACTAAGAGGCGCTCACCTGCTCTCCCCTCCCTCCCCGGCCCTCAGTACATCCGCAGCTGCATCACCATCGGCCGCCTGCCGCACCTCATGCTGGTGTCCAAGGACAGTCTGTACAGCCAGCTCCCGGCCAGCGGGTTTGTCACCCCCTCCTACAGCCGCCGCACGCCCCAGCCCAGCCCCTGCCTTGGTGGGGCCGACCCCAGCCCCCCGCGCCCGCTCTGGGCCTTCAGCAGCCCGCTCAGGGTCCGGCTGCTCTGCGCCACCTACGTCAACGTCAACATCCGGGACATTGACAAGGTGAGCCCCCTCTTCTGAGCAAGCGGCACGATCATCAGAGCGCAGGACAGTGCGGGACCACAGAGGGAGATCCGGGTACTGGGACAGTGAAGCCCAGGGAGATCAGGGTACAGGAGCAGTACAGCCCAGTGAGATCAGGATACAAGATTAGTACAGCCCAGTGAGATCAGGTACAAGAGCAGTACAGTGCAGTGAGATCAGGGTACAAGAGCAGTACATCCCAGGGAGATCAGGGTACAGGAGCAGTACAGCTCAGTGAGATCAGGTACAAGAGCAGTACAGCCCAGGGAGATCAGGGTACAAGATTAGTACAGCGCAGAGAGATCAGGTACAAGAGCAGTACAGCCCAGTGAGATCAGGTACAAGAGCAGTACAGCCCAGTGAGATCAGGGTACAAGAGCAGTACAGCTCAGTGAGATCAGGGTACAGGAGCAGTACAGCCCAGGGAGATCAGGGTACAGGAGCAGTACAGCTCAGTGAGATCAGGTACAAGAGCAGTACAGCCCAGGGAGATCAGGGTACAAGATTAGTACAGCCCAGTGAGATCAGGGTACAAGATTAGTACAGCCCAGTGAGATCAGGTACAAGAGCAGTACAGCGCAGTGAGATCAGGTACAAGAGCAGTACAGCCCAGTGAGATCAGGTACAAGAGCAGTACAGCCCAGTGAGATCAGGGTACAGGAGCAGTACAGCCCAGTCAGATCAGGGTACAGGAGCAGTACAGCCCAGTGAGATCAGGGTACAGGAGCAGTGATGCCCAGAGAGACTGGGTACAAGGTGTAAAGGGAGGAGAGTGGGGGAATAGAGGGGGGAGGGGGTGACAGATTGCTACTTCATTATATAAACCGTATCTGTGTGCCAGATCTACGTGCGGACGGGTATCTACCACGGAGGGGAGCCGCTGTGTGACAACGTGAACACCCAGAGAGTGCCCTGCTCCAATCCCAGGTACTGCAGCTCTGCCCTTGTCAGAGTACACTGTGCAGTGCCAAGACAGGGCGACACAGGCACTGGAACACAACACAGCTCTGAGGCCCTACTACACTCGCTAGACAGTATTGTGCTAGACTAGACTGCAGTGCTGTACGCTCTCCTCTGCCGCGCTGTGTTGAACCTGACTGCCTGTCTTGTGCTTTCCCAGGTGGAATGAGTGGCTGACGTATGACATTCCATTATTTGACCTCCCCCGCTCCGCCCGCCTCTGTCTCTCCATCTGCTCGGTCAAAGGCCGTAAGGGGGCCAAAGAGGTACTGTCCCACATGCACTGAGACCGAATCTCACTGTTTATATTGAACATACTTGGTGCAGTACATTACTTTGCAGTGTTTATTGCAGTGTATCTCCTTTACAGTGTGTGTGGGTATACCAGCCTGTATTGAGATGTATTGCAGTGTAGCTCTCTGTCTCTCACAGTGTATCTCCTGTACAGTGTGTG